TCTTTCAATTATTCTACCTACTTCATTATTATTTTTTATTTTAAAGAAAATTCAGGAGGCACAAGGTGCCTCTTCTTTATTTTGCATAATAAAATACAATGTTACAAGTTAATATAAATTATCGAAATTTATAATTTAATTAATAAATAATATTAAAAAACCTAAATAATAAAGTGTAACGATTAAGATAATGGAAGGTGGGAATGGGAAGGTAAGCAGTAAGATCAAATGGTGATTAGCATAACAGTAATTGAATTAATTATTATATGTGACGTGTACTCCAAGTAAACAGATATTCATTAATTATTGAAATCAAATAACAACTAATTAAGACGACCCATCGAATGAAATTCTTCATGCTTAAACCTTTGTAACCCATCATTTGACATTTATCGTCACACGAAAGCCTCATTTTTTTTTTAATTACAATGGACAGTGGAGTTAACTAATTTATCTTTTTAGTACGCTTAAAAATATGTTATTCGACATTGGAAGAGGAATTCATGTTAACTGGTATTCCTTTTAAAATGATTATAGTTATTTGATATAAGAGGAAATCATGCTACCATCGATGTTTTCCTACATCCTACGTGTTACATGTTCCTCAGTAACTAAAGAAAGGCATGGGAGTTATGCGGATAGTCTAAGTGGATTGAGATTTGAGAGTAAGACATAGGGTTATACTGGTTAGAGTAAAAAAAAGGAATGGATTCAAATTCTCCCATTAACATAATAATTAATAGTTAAATATTTATTAATAATTTTTTTAAAAAAAATTGTGAAGTTATACTATCTTAATCTAAATAATTAGGAATATTCATTATTAGATCAGATCAATTTAATAATTCGAACTAAATCAATTAAATTAATTTGAATTTTTTTTTATATTTGGATTCATTAGATTGAATCAATCAGACAATCTAAAATCAAATTAATTAAATTAATTAGAATTTTTTTATTTAGGTCCAACTTGAATCAAACCAATTAAATCTAATATTAATTAGTTTTGACAAATTTACACATTCAAAATCTAAAACAGTTTAAACCAAATCAATTAACTTTTATATTATTATTTTTTTATTTTTATTTAGTTAATAAGTAATACGTATGTATCATTTTATTTGTTTTGAAGATGTTTTTGTTACAATATATAGATTTTCTCATTCCTTTTTCAAATGTTTAAAGAAACTAAAAAGAATTATTTTGTAATATATTAAGAGTCATTTTCACACATTATAGTGGATTTGAAATCCTTAAGTAGATTAAGATAAGAAACAAAAAAGAACTATATTGCATATCTATCAATTTAGTTAATTTTTTTTACATTATATTAATTTAGTTAATATTAAAGAATATATTTACTTTGAGAAATAAATATTTAATTTATTTTTAAAAAAAATTATTAGATATTCTATGACTCAAATCAAACCAATCCAATTAATATTAAATTTATTTGGTTCGAGTAAATTTTTTTTATGAAATTCAAATAAATTTAATTAATTTAGATTAAATTTTCACTCAAACTTGATCGAACTCATTCCGTTAATATTCTCAATGATTAACTTACATTTATTAATCAATTATCAAATTGAAGGCATTTATATTGTTATACACTTTAAGAAATGATATAATTTTAGAATTTAATAACCATCTATCTTCTAAAAACTTTTTATATTGTCAATTAATAATAAAAAAATATTGTTGATATAATTTTTAAAATAATTATTTAAAATTTAGTTAACTTATCATGATGATTTATTTGGATGAGTGTGTAAACATATTTTACACTATTAATACATAATTTATTTTCTCTATAGTTAATGTTTTGGAAAACGAGAATAAAGAGAGTGGGAAAGAATCAAGAAGAATAAACATTTGGCGAAGCAAGACGGTTGGATGAATGAGGAGTATTTGGAAGAAAGAAAATTAAAAAGTATAAAGATAAATTGATATGCCAAAAATAAGGGAAGGGAGATGTGTTTAGTATATAGCAAAAAGCATATTAAATCTTAGCTGGAACAACTTGGGCCGTTCCGACAGGCAGCCTGGGTAACGCAGTTGGTTTGCGACCTATAGAATTAAATGGATTGGTCAATAACAAATACTAGGATTTGCCTTAATATTGAAACACAAGCTTCTTTTTTCCTTAAGATTCATACACTACGCATTTGATCTTCAACTAAACCTTCTTCCCATCCCGTTACCCATACTTTCAATCAAGCTTTACTCTTTAGTTAAGATACATAATTATCGGACCACTTGTGCCCACCAGTAATGGAATTTGTTTTTGTATCTGTTTATTCAAATTCTCCCCCATCACCAAATTCCTTCAACTATTATATTTCTCATTTTCAATATCTCTTTTATACTTGTACAATAATGTGGCACGTGAAAAGGGGATGATGATGGATACAGCATACATTCCCTGGCAGGAAATAGCTGGACTAGCTTACATTTTGGTTCAATTCCATCATAACTTTCTTAGCCGTAATGAAACAGCGAAAGGGCCATGGCTGTTCTACTCCTCCTATGTACAGCAGCAGTAGGTGCTGTCATAACATTTTATTTGCAAGTGTTGCTACTCTATTAATTTATTGAAAACATTGATTGAATGATATATTGATGTGTCTTGAAATATTTACAATGTGATGTGATGAACGGATATTAAACATTACACTTGAGTATATTTAAATTACGTTACATGTAGTTGAATAAAACCAAAATGGGTGAAACTATTGCAACTCTTCATAAAAGCTTATGTTTTGAGACACATGGTTGAAACTTTCGACACACTTACCTACGAATATTCAAACACATTATCAAGAAACAAGTACTAAATATCTTTCTTAATTATTTTTGGTGTGCAATAATTTATGCAATTATATACTTACGATTCAAATAGTTATCTGTGGTGCACAAAAAGTTTTAATTGGTGTAGGTCAAGTCATTAATATGAGTATTACTCAATTTTTAAGAGTCGGAAGGCTACAAGTTGAATGCATTTGGTTGGAAGATTGTTGAGTTGAGATAAGAGGAGGTGAAGGCCTTGGTAAATTCAATTGAAGGAAGTTGTAGCGCCAATTGGTTGTTTGGTTTGCAAGTGAAGTTTGGTGTGAAAACGTGTTATCTTCATTTTAATTTGTCAGTTGAGTTTGGTGAAACCAAGTTAATGGACGACGCACCAGAAACCAAGAGAGGGAGGAGCTTTTCTTTTTTCAACTTTCAATAATCTGCCAATGGCTCACATGGAAGCCATAGAGAATTTTGAAGCCGCCAGGAAGTGCTTGCAAACTAGCTTAGAAAAATCAACTGCTATTGCTTCTGCATTAGACGAATCAGGATCAAGATTGGAGCTACTTAACCAGAGATTTCGATCCTTGGAAGATGCAACCTCAGTGCAAAAATGCTCGCTTGTTGACATTGGAGACCACATAGACACCGTTCTTTGCTCCGCAGCTGCAGTCCTCAAGGTGTTTGAAGCAGTTCATGAGCTCGAGGAGTCTTTCTTGGCCCACCCCACCTGTGATCTATGCACCTATATCTCAAACACAAAGAAGCTTGAAGAAGCACTGAAGCTTCTCACTGATAATTCCAGGTTAGTACTTGGGTGGTTGCACGGAGTTTTTGAGTTCTTACTAGACAAAACAATCACCAACGAGCGCTGCGTATTGAATGTGAGGAAATCTTTGAGAATACTACAAGAATTGAAGGTCATGGAAGAAGGTGCTCGTGGTGATGGAGGTCTCCTCACTTCTGCCTTTGACAGACTAGAGACTGAGTTCCACAGGCTTCTCATGGAGAACACTTTGCCAGATTCTGTAACACACAAGTTGCAGGCCATAGTTGAAAGATTACACGCAAATCACAGGCTGGACAAGTGTAAATCCATATATGTTGAAGTTCGAGGTATGAATGCTCGAAAATGTGCGGAGAGTATAGATTTGAGTTACCTTGAGATGCCAACAGCTGAATTTGAGGATTTGCATGTTATTGGGAGCTACATAGACCAATGGGGCCAGCATTTGGAGCTGGCTGTGAAGCATCTTCTTGAGATCGAGTACAAGCTCTGTAGTAATGTCTTTGAGAAAATTGGTCAAGAAACTTGGATGGAATGTTTTGCAAAGATTGCTATTGACACAGGAATTCTCTCTTTTCTCCAATTTGGAAGCAACGTTGCTGCGAGTAAAAACGACCCCATCAAGTTGTTGAAGCTGCTGGACATATTCAGAGTCCTAGATGGCCTAAGACTAAAATTCAACCAACTTTTCAATGGGAAAGCTTGTGAAGAAATTAGAATTGTGACAAAGGATCTTGTGAATGGAGTTGTCAACGGTGCTGGTGAGATATTCTGGCAGCTTCCAGCACAAGTGAAGTTGCTAAGGCCAAGTTCTCCTCCCACGGATGGCAGCGTTCCCAGGGTGGTGAGTTTTGTAACTGATTACTGTAATCAGTTACTTGGGGATACCTATAGACCACACTTGACACAGGTTCTGAAAATTCATATAAGCTGGAGAAAGGAAGTGTATGAAGAGGGTATTGTTTTCACCCAAATTTATAACATAATTAAGGAAATTGCTGTTAATTTAGATGCTTGGTCAAAGGCCTATGAAGACATCACTTTGTCTTGCCTTTTTATGATGAATAACCACTGCCATTTCTACAATTTGCGGGGTACTGCTGTTGGGAATCTGATGGGAGATTCTTGGCTAAGAGCTCATGAAGAATACAAGGACTATTATGCAGCACTTTATTTGAGGAATAGCTGGGAAAACCTTGTACCTATTCTTGTAGTTCGAAAAGACTTGCTGTCGTCCTCCGTGACAGCCCAAGATTTTGTCCAGAGACTAAATGCTTTCAATGTAGCTTTTGACGAAAGGTATAAGAAGCAATCTAACTGGGCCATCAGTGATGAGGTGTTGAGGGAAAATATATGCAAGCATTTGGTGGAGGGCATTGTACCAACCTATAGGGCCTATGTGAAGAACTACAGCTTGTCAATTGAAAACGATGCCAAGCATATAAAATATTCAGCGCAGATTTTAGAGAACATGATTAGGTCTTTATTTCAGCCCAAGCTGAGCAAGTATGGGAGAATCAAACAAACAGATTTGATCGGTAAATTAAAATATGCCAGCAAGCAATTTCGTTCCACTCTTAATGCACTATAATTGTGTACTCCATTTTCTTTTCATTTAGCAAAATGAAAGTGAATGTACAATTAGCTCATTTAAAAAAATGTATAAAGATATAGAACATTGGCTTGTAGACATTCATTTAATGCAATGTCTAATAACTTGGTTGCTTGGGTGTGCAATGCTGACTTGCTGAGAATTCTTCTGATATTTGAATCTCTTCGGAAAAGACCATAGTGCGGATTCTGTACCCTTACAAGTTTTCATTCTAATTTTAAACTAAACTTGAACCCATATATTGTCTAAGTATTTTAACCATGAAAGTGAAGAAATTGAGCTTGAGAAAGATTATTGAAATTGAAATAGCAAAATATAAATGGTTAAGAAAGCCAATAAGTGATTTAAAATTGCTAATAATAACACTGTCACGTTGACATACCATGAGTTGAAAGTGAGAGGATTTGAAAAGTCAAAAAGGAGATGACATGCATAACACATATACAAATCAAGCGAGGACTTGAAGTTTTGAACTGTCCACAAAATTATTGACATCTCACTCTTCTCAATTGATCTGATCTCCTCATCCATTTCTTTCTTCCATCTCTCATCAAGTACCGCCTCTTCAAATTTTATGTCTTCTGTTCCTGTCAATAGACATACTACATGTAACTCGTCAATGGAGTTGTAGATGTCTTGCAAGCTCCGAGTTCTAAGCTGCTCAGGTTCATCATCTTCCTCGGAATGCTCATTGGTCCTATCCGAGCTTCTCCCTATTATCTCCGAGCTCTCCCTCTCAGAGTTCGAGCTCCCCGAAGTCTCTTCAGAGTTACTCCAGCTCCACTCGCTTTCCTCATCTACCTGGACATCTCGGTTTACCAGAATTTTTCCTGTAACAGGGTTGTACAATTTGTAGGCTTTTACCTTTTCATCATACCCGATCAAGATATACTTCTTGCTCCTATCATCAAGCTTCGTTCTGAGCTGAGCTGGAACATGACCGTAAGCAAGGCTTCCGAAGATCTTGAAATGATGTATACTCGGTTTTTGTCCACTCCATGCTTCTTGAGGTGTCACATCATCCAATTTTGAATGTGGGCACCTGTTCTGTATATATATAGCACACTGCACTGCCTCTGCCCAAAACTTCTCAGGCATATCCTTCCCTTTAAGCATAGCTCGGACCATATCAAGAATAGTCCGATTCTTTCTTTCAGCTACTCCATTTTGTTGTGGTGAATATGGAGCTGTGAGAAAACGTTTTATACCTTGCTCTTCACAGTATTCCATAAACTCTGCCGATGTGAATTCTCCACCTCTGTCCGACCTCAAAGCTTTAATTTGCTTGTTAGTCTCTTTCTCCACCATGACTTTAAACTTTTTAAAAGCTTCAAATGCCTTTGATTTTTCTTGCAAGAAATATACCCAGGTCTTTCGAGAGAAATCATCTATGAAAGAGATGAAATATTTCTTACCACTGAAGGATGCAGGAGAGATTGGTCCACACAAGTCAGTGTGTATCAGGCCAAGTTGCTCCTTTACTTTGTACTCGGACGAGTTCGGAAAACTTGTTCTTGTATGCTTTCCGAGTACACATGCTTCACAAAACTTCTTGTCAAACTCAACACCACGTAGTCCGTGCACCAACTCCTTCCTTGATAGGTCATTTTACAACGTACTGAACTAACAAGAATATAATAAAATATCTTATCAAATCAAAACTTACCAAAAAACTATCTTATCTAATCTGAAACAAAATAACTCAAAAAATAAATCAAATAATTCCATATAACTTAAATCGGATATCTCGGATATCTCGGAATCTCTAGAAATTTAAGATTTTCCAACGGTTATCAGTAAGGTCTAAGTCCTGTAGCCAAGTAATATTTCCGATTTCAGGTCCTAATTGGCCAGAAATCCCAAAACCGGCGAGGTTAAGTTTGATGACATGGTGGGCATGGTCACATTGAACTCCTACCCAGGAGGAGCATGGAGTGGTATCAGAGGGAAGCCAGGTGGTGGATATGGAAGGAGACACGGATGTCCAGTGCCTCAAGAGAGACAAGAGAGCAACCCCGTCGGAGAAACAAACAACATAAACCAAGCAAGAGAAGACAATAAGACCAACTCGTGTATATGGTGGAGAACATCATGCAGTTGCAATGCTTGAGAGGAAAAGAAGCTTAAAGAAGGTCTCTACCTTGGTTCCAGATTAGTTGAACATGGCATGAAACAACCAACGTGTATGATTTCACATTTGTCACAATTTGGACCTGAGAAGGGGTAGAGTCCAATTTGTTTGTCGTGGAACGCGTTGGCTGTGGGGGCATGACATGATAACAACTCCGAGATACGTGGAGTTTTGTTTACAAGGAAATTACATGGTTGAAATTTTATCATATGCGAGAACACGTAAAAACACAACACCATGTCAAATAAGGCGAAGTTTTGTCTTGTTAAGAGAAATTGATAAATATCATTAGTGAAACTGATATTCAAATCTTGATATAACAATAATAATAAAGTTAAACAACAGAAAAAAAAAGGTTTTGCTTGGTAAATAGCAAGGTCTAATTTGTTGTATTTATGCAGTCTTCTTTATTACAAGATATAGCAAAGAAAGTAGATAAAGAGATAAGAAGGTAATTGGTGAAGGAAGAAGTTATGGAAACTGATTTACATCAGGTAATCAAAGCAAATGATGATTTGACATTTGACAAATTGTGAAATATGAAGAGAGTATTAGTAATTTTAAAACAACGTAACTTTATTAATTTGAATTTGAATTTGAAAATAATAATATACTCATAATAACAATAATTTAAATTTGAAAAATAAAAAACAATAAAAAAATAAACCTTGCACTCATAAGTTGTGCGTGGAAGTTACAGAGTAAGAGGGGAGGGGGTATATAATATAAGAGGTGAGTTAATTGAGAAGTGAGGATAATGGGAGTCTCACATAAGTATTCAAATTTATAATACAAAAGTTATTGCCAAGAAAATTTCCGTGTAAAAAATGGAATAGATATAAGAAAAATACAAATATATTCTTTCATCTCATTTTATATATTTTTTACTTAGTTTGATGGCTAACTTTATTTTTAAACACTTCTAGTTAAATATTTTGTCATTGATTTAAGTAAAATTGAATACAAAATTACAAATCTTTAAATCAAAGTTTCAAATTTAAACTTTATAAATAAAAACGTGATTAACAGATCATATCGGATTATAAATATGCAAAACCTAACCCTTTCTGTCCAACTCGATCCAAAATTGTTTTTTTAGGTTCAGATTTTAAAAATTAGATCTCATGCATTTTTATGATAAGCTTTACTTATGTTTCGGGTTGTCTAAAACCTAACCCAATGCCCTATATTATTTTAAAAAGATCTAACTTTTTGAAAAGTATATATTGATAATAAAAAAAATTAAATAAATAATAGTTTACATAATATTATGTTATATTTATAATTATTTTATGTATTTTCAAATACATATAATAAAATATATATTAATTTAACTTTTACTTCTTTTTATTTAGGTTAATTTAACTATACATAATATTAAGATTCAAATAATATTATAATATATTAAATTAACTTAACTTTTTCTATCAATTATGAATCAACTCATATTCACGTTAAAAATAAATGATTAACAATTTTTTGTGCCAAGTAAGGACAAAACTAAATTTGTCCTAATTATTCTTAGGCCTACTTTACTGTTGAGAAAACAATTCAAATTTTTAAATTCAAATTTTTAATATATTATTTAGATTTTAAAAGATATTGATTATTTTAGGATATTATTTATAATTGAAATATATTATATTTATTTTAAAGATTTATTTCTTTTTTTAAAATAGTGATAAAGGTCAATAAATATAGACTCTTGAGATAAGAAGAACCACCCGACGTGGAGGGGGGTCACCGCCTTAAATGAGAGAGGAGGTCATATGAAGGAGAGTTTCCAAGTTTCGCCAAAAAAACTTATGAAGAAGGAATTTTCAAGTTTCACCCATAAAACTTGTGAAGAAGGAGTTTTCAAGTTTAACTCACAAAACTTGAAGGGAGGATTTTCAAAATATATGTAACACATATTGAAATAAATAATGAACATCCTTGAAGATGTAGGCATGCATGAGGGACTGAACCACGTTAAATAAAATATGTATGATACTTTTCTATTTCTTTTATGGTGTTATTTTTATGAGGAGAGATCCTAAACCCTAAACCCTAAACCCTAAACCTAGACTTATTTCGTTCAATAATTCATGTTCCGTATCTAATTTCAACGATCCAACCGTTCAATTTAAAGTTCTTAATTCATAGATCAAATCTCCAAATTTTTAGAAAATTTGAAAATCATTTGATACTTCGTTTCATTAATTCAAATTGACGGATAATCATAAAGTCATTTTATACATTATTTTGAATTTATGAAATGAAGCATCAAATGATTCTCAAATTTTTTACAAATTTACAGATTTGATCTATGCATTAAGAACTTTAAATTGAACGGTTGGATCGTTGAAATTTGATGCAGAACATGAATTAAGTAAACTTACTCTTGGAATAAAAAGATCTCTCCTTAATTTTTATATGTTTCTCATCATTATTATTGTGCGTAAAAGAAAAGAATTTTTTTTTGTTTCCAACACTTGCTAAAGATAGTTAGCAAGATTTTCTCATATAAATTGATAATTTATAAAATTAGTAGATATTTTATATATTAAAAAAATAACATGGTAAAAAAATATTTTCTAATTAAATAAGTTACTTTATTACATTTCGGTTAGTATCTTTGTAACTTTTAACTAACTTATTTACTAGTTTTGTTAACCACATAAAATCTAATTATCAATACATAACTATTAACATTAACTTGTTCTTAAATTACGTCATATATTTAATTTATAATTTTTTTTTACAATCATTTAATTTATAACTTAAACATACAAAACAAACAGTTGTACTTTTGCATATGTGGTGCCGTAAACAAATAGATCAACACATAGAGAAGCATTCAGCAACAGAGATTGAAATGGCACAACTAGAACTACTATTAACTTCTAGCTACAACTTGGCTATACATTTTTTTACCACGCTTGTGCTCTGATTATATTTATTTTAAAGATTTATTTCTTTTTTTAAAATAGTGATAAAGGTCAATAAATATAGACTCTTGAGATAAGAAGAACCACCCGACGTGGAGGGGGGTCACCGCCTTAAATGAGAGAGGAGGTCATATGAAGGAGAGTTTCCAAGTTTCGCCAAAAAAACTTATGAAGAAGGAATTTTCAAGTTTCACCCATAAAACTTGTGAAGAAGGAGTTTTCAAGTTTAACTCACAAAACTTGAAGGGAGGATTTTCAAAATATATGTAACACATATTGAAATAAATAATGAACATCCTTGAAGATGTAGGCATGCATGAGGGACTGAACCACGTTAAATAAAATATGTATGATACTTTTCTATTTCTTTTATGGTGTTATTTTTATGAGGAGAGATCCTAAACCCTAAACCCTAAACCCTAAACCTAGACTTATTTCGTTCAATAATTCATGTTCCGTATCTAATTTCAACGATCCAACCGTTCAATTTAAAGTTCTTAATTCATAGATCAAATCTCCAAATTTTTAGAAAATTTGAAAATCATTTGATACTTCGTTTCATTAATTCAAATTGACGGATAATCATAAAGTCATTTTATACATTATTTTGAATTTATGAAATGAAGCATCAAATGATTCTCAAATTTTTTACAAATTTACAGATTTGATCTATGCATTAAGAACTTTAAATTGAACGGTTGGATCGTTGAAATTTGATGCAGAACATGAATTAAGTAAACTTACTCTTGGAATAAAAAGATCTCTCCTTAATTTTTATATGTTTCTCATCATTATTATTGTGCGTAAAAGAAAAGAATTTTTTTTTGTTTCCAACACTTGCTAAAGATAGTTAGCAAGATTTTCTCATATAAATTGATAATTTATAAAATTAGTAGATATTTTATATATTAAAAAAATAACATGGTAAAAAAATATTTTCTAATTAAATAAGTTACTTTATTACATTTCGGTTAGTATCTTTGTAACTTTTAACTAACTTATTTACTAGTTTTGTTAACCACATAAAATCTAATTATCAATACATAACTATTAACATTAACTTGTTCTTAAATTACGTCATATATTTAATTTATAATTTTTTTTTACAATCATTTAATTTATAACTTAAACATACAAAACAAACAGTTGTACTTTTGCATATGTGGTGCCGTAAACAAATAGATCAACACATAGAGAAGCATTCAGCAACAGAGATTGAAATGGCACAACTAGAACTACTATTAACTTCTAGCTACAACTTGGCTATACATTTTTTTACCACGCTTGTGCTCTGTCCCTTGACTTCCACACCCATTCCATTCCATTCCGCCAGATAAGGAGCAAACTGCTATGATGATTATAGATATGAGAAACCTACCCCTTTATACTTGTTTTTGTCCGTGCATTAGCATCTAATAATTGCCTCGTAACATCTCTCATTGTTGGTCTCTTGTGTGGATCCTTCTCAGCACATCTCAAAGCCACCATAAGCACTTTGGTAACTTCTTCCATTATATGCGTATCTAGAAATTCCTCTGCAAGGCTTGAATCAACAATTTCATTAACTTCTCCAGTTTCCATCCACATAGACCTAACCCAATCCACCACATAAGTACCATTCATGTACGAAGCATCTGCTACTTTCTTTCTGGTTATCAGCTCAAGCAAAACTACCCCGTAACTGTATACATCAGACTCCCTACTATTTGCTGTCATATAAGCATTCTCTGTCACAAGCCAATGTAAACATGTAAATTCATAAGAAGATTTATAAAGGAAAGAAATATCCGATCAATAGTAAATGTACAAGAGTTACCTGGTGCAATATAACCAATGGTACCCGGCACACCAATGGAAGGATTTGAAGACGAAGACTGATCCAAAAGTTTGGCAATACCAAAGTCAGCAATGTGAGGCTCCATATCAGAGTCTAGAAGTATATTGCTTGGCTTGATGTCTCGGTGCACTATGGGAGGATCACAGTCATAATGGAGATAAGCCAATCCATGAGAAATTCCAACTGCTATCTTATACCGGACATTCCACTCTAAGGTTGTTGGTGGTGTTTTTTCATGCAAAACATCGTGAAGACTTCCATTTGGCATGTAGCTGTATAAAATTAGACCATAATCTTTTCTCAACCAAAAGTCTTCCAATTTGACCAGATTTCGATGCCTAATTTTTGCAAGGGTTTGAACTTCTCTAACCATGCTCAAGTTCTTCCCTTTGCTCGCAGCAAATTCCACCTTCTTCACAACAAAAGCTTTGTCTGGAGCTATCAGGGCTTTATAAACAACTCCATGAGCTCCTCTGCCAATAACATACCTGTCATTTAGGTTTTCTGTAGCCTCCATGACTTTATTAAGAAGGGATGATGAACCATCTTCAGCAGAGATATGGAATTCCTCCTTAGCTTTTCTGCCAAAAACAAAAATATAAACTGATCCCAGCAACAGCAAAACAACGAATATTGAGGACCCAAGAGCTATCATCACAATTTGAACTTTACTGAGGCCTTTCTGTTTGGTTGATTTGTTATCACATTGTTTTATAGAGCTGCTATCAGTGCAAGCCAAACCATCTGACGCTGAACAACTGATGCATAGGCCAGGATTGCCCATAAATGATGATAAAGGAGAATTAAAAAACTTCATTAGAATCTTAGGTACACGACCATGAAAAGAATTGTATGAAATATTGAGTTCAACTAAGGATTGGAGTTCACCAAGAACTTCTATGCTTCCTGTCAAACTGTTCTGAGATAGATCTAGGGTTTGCAAGTTTTTCAGGTTCCCAATCTCTGCAGGAAT